CTAGGATTTGAGTCCAGGGCTGTCCCCAAAGGTCCCTACTGCTGGTTGCCAGGATCAGGGCCTGGTCTTAGGCCTGAGGTGGTATCTTGCGATGGCTCTTAGTTTTGGAGACAGACAGACTTGGGTATGAATCCCAACTCTGCTCCAATTCCATTTGAGAACATGAATTTTTTTTTTTTTTTTTGAGCTGGAGTCTCACTGTGTCGCCCAGGCTGGAATGCAGTAGCACGCTCATGGCCACTGCAGCCTTGACCTGCTGGGCTCAGGCGATCATTCCGCATTAGCCTTTCAAGTAGCTGGAACTACAGGTATACAATACCACACCCAGCCAATTTATTTATTGTAGAAGTCTCGTCAAGTTGCCCAGGCTGGTCTTGAACCCCTGAGTTCAGGAAATACTCTTGCCTTGGCCTCCCAAAGTGCTGAGATTACAGGTTTAAGCCACCATGCCTGGCCAAAAAATTAGAATCTTTTTTTTTTAGTTGGAGTCTCACTCTTCTTGCCCAGGCTGGAGTGCAGTGGCATGCTCATGGCCACAGCAGCCTCGATCCTTCTACCTCAGTCTTCAAAGTAGCTGGAACGACAGACGCACGCCGCTGCACCCAGCTAGTTTTTGTGATTTTTGTTGTGGAGCCAATCCTCTTGTCTCAGCCTCCCAAAGTGCTGAGATTACAGGCTGAGTCACTGTGCCTGGCCAAAATTAGAATCTTAATAGTGCTACCTCACAGGGCTACTGTGAGGGTGATGTCAAATATACACGAAATGCTTAAAACAGTGTCTAGATTTGGGGCTACAAAAGCTTTAGCCATTATGACTACTAATAATAGGCTAAATAGATTATTATTATTATTGCTTAATAATAGTCCCCACTTCTTAAGCTCCAACTGTGTGCCAGACAGGGTGCTTGGCCCTTTTACAAGCAACCTCTCCTTGAATTCCTAAGGAGGGGGTAGAGGAAGGATCCATTTCACAGAGCAGGAAACTGAGACCCAGAGAGAGGAAGATGCTCGTTCCAGTTCACACAGCAAGCGAAGCGACAGTCAGGAGTCAGACCCAGTTCCATCTGGCTGGCTTCCTGTCTGACGGCAGGAAAAACAGCGGTTGAGTTCATAAAGATATTGCCTGCTCCCTGGACCCTGTCGGACACCCCTGTTCCCAACAATGACAAGTACCTCAATCACATAGGTGGGGTCACTTGGCATCTTATTAAGGCTCAGAGAGAGAAAGTGAATGACTTCTTGTGAAGTCGTTCAGCCCTGGCCCCTGCTTCCCTGCCTTCCAGCCTTGGAATATCAGTCCCGCTTCTGGTTTGCTGTGTGACACTACCTAGGTGCCTTTACCTCTCTGAGCTTCCAAGTCATCCTTTTTATAACACAGGAAGGGGTGTCTTCCAGAGTGGCATGAGGCCATGGGCAAAGTATCAAGTCTGGAATGAGACAGACCGAAATTTTTAACCTGGCTCTACCACACTTCTGCTGTGTGGCCTCAAGCAACTCGACCTCCCTCTCTGAACTTCAGCAGCCTCCTTTGCCATATGGGGCTGAAAACCCTACCTCCTGAGGGTGGCATGAGGACCCAGTGAGTGGCAGGCAGGGTGAGAATACCATGATTATTGTGAACTGTTTGGTGCAGGAGGCCCTGCAGGCCTCACCTGTGTGGGAGAGTTTCAGGGAGGAACCCCAACTGGCCCAACTGGAAGAACTAGCGTCTTGGGAGGGAGTGGAACCCAGGGTGGGGAGTTGCCTCTTGCTCAGGCCTGCCTGAATTCTGGGCGCTGACCCCTGCCTGGCGCAGGACCAGAGAACAGAGGGAGATTTGGATGCAGGCTCCACTTGTGCCCGCCGCCTGCTGGGTGCCTGGCTCTTCCCCAGTTCCTCAGATTTCCCTGAGATCAACAATCTGGTTCAGGGGTCAGTGGAGAGGTGACCCCCAGCACTGGAGACCAGGCCAGGGCCTCAGACAAGCCTGGGGCCATATCCACTCTGGGTTTCTTGTCCCCTGGGGCAGAGCAGGCGCAGAGCCCAGTGACTTCCCAGCCTGTCTCAGGCCCACTCCCTCAGGGACGCACTGTCTGGGACAAGGCAGGGGTGGAGTCAGGCGCCAGGCCAGCTGCATAATTTTGGGGGGCCCAGTGCAAAATGAAAATGTGGGGGCCTGGTTCAAAAAGCAGGAAAGGGCTAGACACGGTGGCTCATGCCTGTAAGCTCAGCACGTCCAGAGGCTGAGGAGAGAGGATCGCTTGAGCCTAGGAGTTTGAGACCAGCCTGGGTCACATAATGAGAACTCATCTCTACAAAAAATCAGCCAGGCATGGTGGTGCTGCACTCCTGTAGTCCCAGCTACTTGGGAGGCTGAGGCAGAAGGATTACCTGAGTCCAGGAGGTCGAGGCTGCGGTGAGCCGTGATCATGTCACTGCACTCCAGCTTAGGTGACAGAGTAAGATGCTGACCCCTCCCCCCAAAAAAGAGGCAGGTAAGGGTGCCATCAAAATACTAAAATATAAACTATTTTTTTCCTCTTTTGCCTCAGTCTCTCTCGATCCCTCATGGTGTTTAATATCATGTTCCCTTGGGCACTGGAAACTCATGAGGTCAACACCCCACGAGTATCCAGTGCCCAAGGTGCCAGTGGTGGCTAGAGATCTTGCCTCACAACTTCGGCAACCTGGTTGCTGGGTTCTCCTCCTCCCCAGCTGCCCACCACTACAATCCACCCCAAGATGCCACAAGGCACAAGTGCCTGACCCTGATCTTCCCGTGCCTGGGCCAGATCTCTGCCAAGGTGGAGGATGGCAGTGATCACAGGGGAGGGAGGGGACGGAAGAGAGAGCCTGTTCCAGAGAAGTGAGGCAGCCTGTGAGGGGAGGCTCCAGCCCTTCCCATCATGTTTCATTGTCCCATTAGATTTCACTCACAAAACACAAATCCAAAGACAAAATCAAGAATTTCCAGATGGTGACCACAGAGCCTTAGGCCCCAGAGCCGCAGGGCTCTTCTGCACGGATCACATGTGCACAAAATGAGATTAAGCAAGGGGCCCAGTTTGCAGAGGGGCTGGGGAGGATGAATTGATTCAAGATCCAGGTGTGAATAAACCGATGGGAGGTGGAGACCAAGGAACACTTGGAGTCCCAGGGCATCTGGGATTTGGGTGTTTGTCCGCCCAGGACTCAGGAGTTCTATATCTGCATCTTTAAAGGGACCTGTGTGTGTGTTTTTCTTTCTTTCTTTTTCTGAGTTGGAGTCTCTCTCTGCCGCCCAGGCTGGAATGCAGTGGTACAAACAGGCTACCGCAGCCTCCATCTCCTGGGCTCAGACAGTCCTTCCGCCTTAGCCTCCCAAGTAGCTGGAACTATAGGTTCGGCAAATTTTTTAATTTATTGTAGAGACAAGGTCTTGCTATGTTTCCCAGGCTGGTCTCGAACTCCTGGGCTCAGGCAATTCTCTCCCCTCGGTTTACCAAAGTGCTGGGATGACAGTCGTGAACCACCACACCCAACCCTTAAAGGAGACTTTTTGAAGGGGAAGAAGAGCTTCTCCAGAGTGACAGCCTAGAGTGCTCAGGTGGGGAAACCCACGGGCCTATGGAAACCCAGCGTATGCATGTGGCCCAGCTTAGGGGGCAGGGAAAGCTCCTTGAAGGAAGGATACCTTAGATGAGACCTAAAGAATGAAGAGATCTCCTTATCAGGAATTCACCGACCATCTCGTCAAGACCCACACCAGAGTCTCCATACAGAGGACCCAGGCTCCAGCGGTGGCAACGACATAGGGTTTTCATACAAAAAAAAGCCCCCCCCCAAAAAAAAAATGAAGTCAGCCAAAGACCTCGGCCTGCCTTGTCCCAACGGTCCTCAGTTCTTAGCATCACCGGTTTATTCAATCACCAGATGTTCCCTCAACACCTAGAGTGTGGTAGACACCCTGTTGTGCCCAGGGTTCAGTGACCAAGACAGCCCCAGCCCTCCTGGAGCTCCCACAGGGAGAGACAGACTCATCAGCATGATGACCCTGGATAGTTAAGGCTGTGATGGGAGAAGCACAGGGTAGAGTGATCAGGGTTGGGAGGGGGAGACCACAGGCAAGGTGATCAGAGCTCTAATGGGAAGCCCAGAGGAAGCATCAGACACACCAAGACAATTAGGGAGGGCTTCCTGGACAAAGAGACATAAGAGGAGCTAAACCCTAAATGATGAGTAGGACTTGGGTGGAGTGGGGAGAGGAGCCTTGGCAAAAGGAACAGTGTGTACAAAGCCCCAGAGGTGAAAGGGAAGCGCTTTTTTTTTCACTTTTATGGAATGAGACATGCCTGAGACGTGCCCTATGGTGCTGGGGACACAGTGGTGACTAGGACAACCGTGACTCTGCGTCATGGAGCTCACAGTGTGAGGAGGACACAGATCCATCCATAGTGATGGCCCAGGGTCCTCAGGGATGGGATGGCAGAGCTCTAAAGGGGATGCCTGACCCAGCCAGGGGAGTCAGTGGGGGCTTCCCGAAGGAGGGGACATCTGAACTAAGACCAGAAGAACGCAAAGCTGATTGCGGGAAGGACAGAGGGAAAGACATGAGCAAAGGCCTGGAGGGGAGGGCTAGGAGTTCCTGGCCCGGTCAGGCCAAAAGTGGTGGAAACAGGCCTACAGACTGAAAGAACAAAAAAATTGCCTGACACTAAGGACACATGCCACCCCAACCCCTTGTCCCAGCCATGACCTTAGGGTCGAAGGCCTCCATTCCTAGAGAGACAGCTGAGGGACGCTTGGCTCTGAGGTCCCCATAACTCGGAAGTCCTGCTAGAGGCAAGGGGCCCGGGACGCCTGGGCCGGCAACCACAGTAGCAACCCCTGTTTTTCCTCCGTGTTTAATTCGGTATCACAGGAGCACCAATAAATAGTTCCTTCCCGCCCCTGCAATCTTCCTCCTGCCCTGGGGCTGGCGATCCCGTCGAGGGGAAGACACTGGCCACCCGGAACGCGATGACGACTCAGGTCCGATGACGACTCAGGTCCGCCGAGCTGCAGCGCCAGCAGAAGTCCCGGAGGAGCGCCAAAGGGGCGGGCCCCAAGTTCCCGGAAGAGGGCGGGGCCTCCAGGTGCCGCCACTTGCGCGGGGGCGGGGCCTCGCCGGGAGGTGCCTCCCAACGGGGCGGGGCTCCTCAGGGGGCGTGGTTTTCGTCGGCTGCGGTCACGATGACGTCCATCCAAATGCGCATGGCTTCGGGGCTCGGAGCCACCATGAAGAAAAGGCGTTCGTAGGTTTTGACGCAGAACGTCAGGCGAGGGCTGGGACTCTGGAATGAGCAGCAGAGTGAAGATGGTTAAGACAACGGGCAACGCCTCGGTTCAAATCCAGCCTTTGCTACTTAAGGCCGGCGTGGCATTGGGCAAGTTACTTCACGCTGAATCTGTTTTCTGTTTCCCTGTCTTCCAAAGTGATGTACCTCACTGGTTTATGAGGATTACGTGAATTAACACAGCAAAGTGCTTAAAATTAACACATGTAGAGTGCTATTATTCGGAGAAATTAAAAAAGAGGACCCATAATCCCATTCTCCTGCCTACCTTCTACACTAGAAATATAGGCATTCAAACTCCATCTCCCCAAAGTCTAGATCCCCCGTAACTGGTGAAAGTTAGTGTCTAGAACCCATTTATCGATTAACTACTTGCCAACTCCGAGTTGAATATATCCCTTACATCCAGTATCTGTCTTTAGCCTCCCAATCACCCTGACAGAAAGGGTTGAAGTGTGTCTATTATGCACATGAGAAAACTAAGCCCGGAGAAAGGAAGCCACTTTCACACAGCTGGGATTCCAAAGTAAGCCCTGAAAAGCCACAGTTGGCCACTCCCCACAGAACTTTCTAAACACTGTATCCATTGCCAACATTGACATTCCTAGCACTGCACATTTGTACAAGTTCCAATTCCTGAACTCTCTGTGGGAAAGTCAATAATACAATATGGCATCATGGGGCCCATTTGGCTAACTACTGGTAGAAGCCAAGTAATGACTGTCTCGTTGAGACGACCCCAGTCCCTATTCTGCCCTCTTTATTCATTTATTCCCAGCTTGGCATCAGAGTTTGCCAAATTTTGGCTCTAAATCCTTTGCTCCAGGAAAATTAACAGTGAGAGCCAGAGTCTGAGCTCTTAATTTTTAATCCCTGCAGTGGCGTGACGTGTTGATCTTCTGTGCTGGATGGTGAGTACCCTGACAGTAGGGTCTGTGGGTGGCTTTCCCCAGGACGAGCCAGGGATGAGATGAGGCTTGACGACAGGGGCTCTGACTGGAAGGACAGGGTGGCACTGAGGGGCTTCACCTTGAAGGCACAGCGTAAGTGGTCGTAATAGACTTCCTCAATGGCCTGGAAATAGATGACGCCTTTGAGCTTGGTCTCTTCCTTGTCTTGTTGGGGGAGGCAAGAAAGAAATAGAGTCATGAGAAGGGTGTATCCGTGCACGTCGGGGTGGGGGCCATGTGGCCCAAGTCCTGGGACTGGGTTTTGGGATGAGGAACATGGTGACATTCTGAAGGTTCCTAAAGTACCATGATTGGGAGGTGAGTGGATGTGGTCACTGGATGGGAGATTTTTGGATGTGGAAACTGGACTTGACTGGGGAGTGGTGGCCAGGGAGCTGGAATCCTGGGGCTCGGAACGCCTGGGTCCCTGAGAAGGGAGGGAACTCAAGGAGAGGTTCAGAGTAATTGATTCCCCTAGAGAAGGAAAAAGGTCCTGGACTCCTGGGGTTGAGGGGAAGACACTAACAATGCAGCCTCAGAATCCTGGGTGTCTTAGGAGAACGGAGTCGGGGAGCCAGAATTGTACTAAATGGATCTGTGTTACTAAATAGTTCTGTGTTCCCAAGGAAGGCTGGGGGCATGGAGTCTGGGTGGCTTAAGGAGGAAGGGGCTGAAGGTCTGGATTCATGGGTCCCTGGGAAAGAGTGGGCTGGGAAGCCTAGATTGTGGGGAAGGCAGGAACTAAGAATCTGGATTGAAGATGAAGTGGAAAGTGGGGGCCTGGACTCCTGAGCCCCAAGGGAGAATGGGGCTCAGGATTCACAGGGAGAATGGGGCTCAGGATTCTCAGGCCCAGATTCACAGGCCTAAGAGAGAAAGGGAGCTGGGTACAGTGGTTCACGCCTGTAATCCCAGGGAGGCAGAGACAGAGGACTGCCTGAGCCCAGGGGTTTGAGACCAGCCTGGGCAACTTGGTGAGACCTCGTCTCTACAATAAATAAAAAAATTAGCCGGGCATGAGCAGTGATCATGCCACTGCATCCCAGCCTGGACAACAGAGCAAGACCCTGTATCAAAAAAAAAGCCGGGCTCGATGGCTCAGCCTGTAATCCCGCGCCTATGGGAGGCTGAGGTGAGTGGATTGCCTGAGCCCGCGGGTTCGAGA